ATCTCAGAATCATTTCATCAAGTTTCCAATTATTATTATTATTATTATTATTATTATTATTATTATTATTAATCATCTGGGAAAAAGCAACTTCTACTATACTCAGTCTTTCCATAAAGAACAGCATGTCTCTTCATTTATTTTTATTTTTTTCCTATGCCAGCAGGAAGACCTGTTTTCCTGTGCTTCATAAGCATCTCCCAGACTCAGGTGCCCATGGACCCCTCTCTGTTCTCCTGTGTAAGCGTCTGTGAACTTCCTGAGGACCAGCCCTGCACAACACTTTTAGGGACACGTTTCTTTTTTCCACCTTTAAATAAAATTTTGGTTGTCATGCTACCATCTGTTACTAGTTTTCACAGACCTTTAGAAACCAGGAGATCCCTTGTCAGTTCCTACAGAACCGATCATTTCCCTCGTCCAGCCGGTGCCTTCAGAGTCGGGGCTCCTGGGGCTCTTCCACAGGGGACCCCCGGCTCGGGGTGCTCCCTGTGCACCCCCATCCATGCCTTTGCAAATGACTCTCATCTTTTCTCTCCGGGCTCCAGAGCCCTGTGCCGGCGTCTCCCTGGCTGTCCCGCTGGGATGCACAAGGCACCTCAAACTTGACTCATCCCAACTGAACTCATCTCCTTTCTCTCCCTGCCACCGCCTCCTGTCTTGCGCTCTCCATCTCAGGGGTCGGCATTATCATCTGCCAGGCTGCCCAAGGCATGGACTCAGTGTGTCTCCACCTTTGTCCATGGAGCATCCATCCGCTCCTGATTTGGCTCCTCAAGTTCACACCTTCCCTCCTTTCTCCCCACTGCAGCCACGGTCCTTGTACAGCCCACCCTGGTCCTCCCTTTGATGGTGGCCGCACTCTTCTAGCCTGTGCGCAGGGGCCCAGGGATCTTCTGAGAAATGCAAATCAGAAAGTGTCACTTTCCGGCTGGAAACTGCCCTTGGGAGAAAACCAGACCCCTTGGCACGACCTGCAGGGCCCTCATGATCTGCTTTTTCTGGCTTCTTCAAGTATCAGCACCTGCTGTTTCCCTCTTGTGTGGTTCCCCTCAGTCAGAGAACAGCTGCTCTGTTCCTCCAACACAACCTGCTCACTCTCCCCTCCTGCTTTTGAGCGTGAAACTTCCCTGTGCTAGCTCTTCCCCCTTCCACTCCCTCCTCGTGGCTGAAAGTCACCTCTGAGTAAGGACTGTCTGCTCCACCTTTGCCCGTTGCGTCCCTGAGCCCTAGGTTGTAATCGTTTCCTTGTCGGTACCTCTGCGCTAGAAGCAGCCCCCGAGGTCAGGGACCCTGCCAGTGACAGAGCACAGCACTGGGCTCACAAAAACCCTCAGAAAGTATCTGTTAGAAAACAACTTCTGTCATTAGGCAAATGGATGTGATCGACCATTTCTGATATTAAACGATCATCACGTTCCCAGGATAAACCCTATTTTATCATGGTGGGAGTTCCTCTTTATGCGTTATGGAGTTAAATGCTTAAAGCCTCAGGACTTTTTTACTCTTTTTAGAAGTGAAACAGGTCTCTACTTTGTCTTAGATACGCTACCTTTGGCAGCTCTGAGTGGAGGAATCACATTGGCTATAAAAACAAGTTGGGCACATTTCACAACACATTTATGTATGTATTCTGAAACAGTTTATACAGCACTGTATTATTTTTACTTAATTATTCCTTGCAAATGAATAAGAAGGCACTCAAAAATAGATGATCTGACTCTACAGTCACTAGGTAATTTTAAGGTAACCTTGAAAATAGTGAAGAATTTGAGTTCCCACCATGGTTATGGGGCTACTATTGGTATTTCCTACATTTTGGGGAGTCAGTTTTGAAATATTCGCATTTCCCCAGGAAATCCTTGATTTCCCGGGACCTCCAGGTCCCTGACCCAGAGATTCTCCAAATCTCACCTGCAGGTTCTCTACCTGGTTTCTACCAGGTCTCTACCTGCCTGTGACACTTAAAGAAAAAAGAAGAAGAAGAAACAGCTTCGGGAGGGGACAGCTTAGCACAGAACCTTCCAGGCCTTTGTCTATCCCAGTGACCCACACTGGGGAGGAGGCAGATTCTTTCTAGCCCAAGTAAGAGCCAAAGCTTTGCCAGCGCTGGTAAGCAGTGAACCGTGCACATTTTCCGAACTTCCATTTTTAGTTCCTGGACCACTCGGTGAACCTCTTCCCCTTCCTACCCCCACAGCCTGGAGTTTCCCGTCTTCCCTCTCCAGCGGCAGAAAGTGGGGAGGGGGTTGGATATAACCACGCCCATCCCTCATGCCACAGGCCAGAAAAATCCCTCCGCCACCAGAGGATCCCGAGGAGGGGGCCTCAGGCTGGAATGGAAGGACTGGAAGGACCCAGCCTGGGGATGGGGAGGGATGGGGAACATGGCGATGGTGGAGCAGCTGGGGATGGGGGAAGTCAACGGACACTCAAAAGACCGTTGCCTGTGAATGGAGGCTGGAACTGGGTCCCTGAGCACAGTGGCCCCAGCCCTCCCTCCCCTGTGTCTGCGTGCCTACAGTGCACAGCCACAAACCTGAACAGAGGGCTCGGGAACCCTCCCAGCCCTCCTGCCTGCCCGCCTGCAGAGGAAGGTGAGCACATCCTTCCTGCATTGACCTCCACTGGGCGTCTGAGTGGAAGGATGGAAAGAAAGCTCAAATGGAGACCTTCCAACAGCTGCCTAGGGCAGCACTGGCCCCAAATGCTTTCCCTTCTGCCAGGACGAGCATCCCACTGAGGGTCACATTATATGCACTCTCTTTAATCTTTTAGTTTGTGCTTCCTCTCTTTTTTTCTAGATTAAATATGCCAGAGGCTTGCTTTTCCCCAAGGCTCTCTTCTTCACTGATCCTATAGTTTCTTTTTTCTAGTTTCTAATCTTTTGATTTCTGCTTTCTCTGAACTATTTTCTTATTTTTGCTTTCCTTAGGGTTTTGGTTTTGGGTGCTTGTTGACATCTGTTCCAACCTAATGGGTTGAATATAAGGGTAACTTGTTTTCATTTGCACTGTTTGGAAAGCACCTGAGAATTTGCCTCTGGATTCAGCTTTGGCCGCACCCCATAGTTTTTCCAATAGTCTGCAACTGACACCGTAATATTCTTCTTCCCAGGATTTTTAAAAAAATTTTCAAAGAGATTGGATTTTCCACCTAGTTTTATCTGTCCCTTCCACCTAGTTTTAGAGCACTGAGTCAGGGAATAGGCCAAACAGGCTTTGCTGTATAAAACTTACTAAATTTTCTTTATGACCTGAAGTACTTTCATAATTTTAAAGTGTTCTATGATTCCTCAAAAGGAAGGCACATCTTTCTATAAAGCAAGGGGAAAAATTATATAACTGCTAATTTAATTTTATTCATTATATTATTAGAAACTCCTATGCCATTTAAAATGTAATTTGTTAAAGGTCCTTGAAAAGGGTATGAAAGACTCATGCAGTTAGGTTTTTGCTAATTTATCCCACGTCTGACTGTCTGCTCTCGTGTATTTTATGTTCTCAGTGGGGTGTGTGAAGGACCGTGACTGCTATCTTCACTGTGGTTGCTTCCAGCATTTTACAGTGACATACTTTCTAGGTAAAAAGAGTGGGTTCAAGGTCCACTGTTGCTGGAATTCGTCCAGCCAGTGTCCTTCATTGTCATTTCTATACTGCAGGCCTTGTACATTGTGTGCTGTTTGATTTTATTCTGAGACTCAGATTCTTTCTTTGAGTAGAAGAGTTAACCCTTCATGTAATTACCATGCCTGGTCTTATTATGACCCAACTTTCTTCATACTGGTGAGGTCAGAGCATGGACTCTAGAATTTGGCTGCCAAGGTGAGAAGCTGGACTCCCAAGGAGCCAAATGCCACTGGCCACTCACTTGTCAAGCCACTGAACTGCCTTAAGCCTCAATGTCTTTATCTGTGAAATGGGACTGACATAGCTCCATCTCCTCATCTGTCCTGGGATTGAGTCAATACGTGTAAAATTCTTCTGAGGTGCTTGACCCAGGCACTTGCTCAGTCCACACTGGCTGCCACCACGGGGCTCCTTCCTTCCTCACCAGCTCTCCTTTCAGGCACCCTGTTATCTTTCCATCTCAGGTCAGTGTGTCTTGGGGGCTTTCTCCCTCTGCTGCATAGACCCACGCGTGCTGCTAGGAAAGATGGTTGCAAGTTTGACAGCAAAGGGAGGTACAAAGGGCAAGAACGCTCAGTTAGAACAGAGGTGACGTGGCGTGAGAAGAGGAGCACACTGGTTGAAGATGTGAGCAGGAGTCAAGGTGAGGGGTGTGTTACCCTCGTGTTTCTGACACTTTGCCATCCAGGGCCTTGCTGACCGTCCCAGGGTTAGTCAGTTCTTACAGATGATAAACAGCTCACTCTGGAACATGCTCTTCCTTCCAGTGCAAACCAACCAACCCAGAGTCCACAGGCCCAACCGCCTCCTTAATCGGGCTTCCGCACTCCAGCCCACGGTCCCCTGTGCGAATCCCCCAGGACCAGGTACCAGACAACGAGGGGCAGCCCTGATGCCCCAGAACCCACTGAAACGGTTCACGCTGGCCACTCCGAAGCCTGCTTACCCCTGCCTCACCTGGTCCTTCCTGCGGAAACGACAGTAGAAGTGCTTGCCCACAGTGTCCCTCTCCCTCCCTCGGCCTCCTGACCGACCCCGGAGCTTCCCTGTGTGGCCCTGCGTGTCCAGAATCTGTGAGTAATAAACTGTCTTTCCCATGACAGTCGCCTCCTGATTTGTTGGCCTCACCACACCTGAATAATAACAAAACCCAAATTTTAAAAGGAGGGGTGGGGCTGAAAGGCGAGTGGGCATGGCTCACAAGTTCGTCGTTATAAGGAGCCACAGGCTGCCAGGGAGAGACAGGGCGGCTGTGAACCCACAGAAGGGCCTTCCGTGGAGGCCTGCGCCTCACTGCCTGGCGCCGTTCACCCTGCACAGGGCTGGGGCCCTGGTGTGTCTGGAAGGCGCCGGCCCGCATTGCTCACTCACCTTCCCGTAACTCAGCAGGATTATGCGCACCAGGACGACGTTGATGTGGGCCCCCAAGGACTCGTCGTGGTAAATCTCATTAACCTGAAAGGCAACCAGGGACGTGTCAGGAGAAGGCACAGGCCCGGAGAAGGCACAGGCCCGGGGAAGGCCCAGCCCTGGCCTGGCCCACAGCATCCCCAGCCAGCCAGCCTCCGGGCCGGAGCCCTGGGGCCCTCCCCGCTGCTTCCTCTTTCCCGCTCTCCACACTCAGGCATCACCATCTGCTGTTTTGTTTTTTTTTTTAGGTTTTGGGGATACTTTATTATTTATTTTTTTTAGGCGGTACGG